AAACCGAGATGTAACTCAAAGCTGGATCCCAGGAAAGGGGCTGCCTGTTTAAAGTTACCTTTGAAACCCATTCTCAGTTTCTCTAAGAAATTTAGCATTTGGTATAAATATATTTTAATTGATTTGTTTTTATTCTATGTGCATCAGTGTGTGCCTGAATGTATGTAAGTGTACCATATGCCTTCAGTGTCTGCGGAGGCCAGAGGAGGGTGTTGGATTCCCTGGAAGTGGAGTTTGGACAGTTGTTGGCCATCATATGGGTTGTGGAAGCTGAATTAGGGTCCTTTGCAAGAGCACCTAGTGCTCCTCACTAGTGAGTCACCTCTCCAGCTCCTGCTATACAGTGTGTGTGTGTGTGTGTGTATGTTTTAGTATTTAGTGAAGTGTATTCATTGTACCTAATTTTCAGTTTCACAGCTAACTCCTTTCGAATATAGCATATGTGCTGACCGTTCTTGACCTCTGCACCCATCCCTTTCTCCCCCCTTCTCTTTTTCTCTCACACTAGTTTATTTCTGTCCATGTCTCTTCTACCCATGTAAAATAAATAACATTGTGTATCAAAAAAAAAAAAAAAAAAGAAAAGAAAATCACATTGGGGGGGCCTGGTGGCTCAGACAGGGAATTCTAGCACTCAGGAGGCTGGGGCAGAAGGATTGCCATGAGCCCAAGACCAGCCTGGGCCACATAGTGGGACTGCCTCCAAAAAACACTTAAAAGACTGAGAAAGCTCATACTTTATTTTCTGTGCTCTGCAGGAGGGTGAGATCCAGGCTGGCAGGAAGTAGTGCTGACACCCCCACACCCACACTGGGCACCAGACAGTTAACTCCTCGGGAGCCAGCCAGTCTCTTTTACTTCACGATGTTTTGGGGGGTACATCACCATATTAATAGATTGCTAAAATGGTCAAAAAAAACACTGAAGGGTTTTCATTAGTTTTTTTATGCACCTAAGAGATCTTTCCCTCTTGATGAACCAAGTACATAAAGAGGGTACAAAAAACTCAGGCAAGCAGATCTCTGTGATTGCAAGGTCAGCCAGGGCTACATAAGCGAGACCTTGTCTCAATTAGCTGATTAGTTTTTTTTAAGCTTGAGAGAGGGGACTATTATTACACCTCTAACTCTGTACTGAAGAGAAATGTGCTGAAGCCCGTCCAGAGACACCCAAGCTCAACCGAACTTTCTTCCTATCAGGAGAAAGTACCCAGAGAGCACAGAGCAGAGCTTTGATCCATTCAGTCAGGCTGACCAGGATTCTTCCTCCCAGGCCGAAATTATTTACCCAAGTCTTTCATGGATTCAAGGTTAAACATTCTTGCATTTTAAAGACATTCTGTCTCTATCTCTTAATTATTTTTAAGCACCATTTTAGTCCTTACACTTCCCACATGAGAAGGGAGTCAATTAAATCAAGGGACGAGCCATTCAGCTTCCTGTGCTGGCTTAAAGTCATCAATGTGCATCCCGGCCTTCCTCGTCTCTCATAATTACACTTACCCCATAGACAGGTGCTTTGATTCTAAGTTTGAGTTTGAGATCAAGTAAAGCCCTGGTTATCGATGACGTGGGACTTTAAACCTTGAGAGGCAGCCCAGACACCCAGAGATCGGGACCAACTAAGTTGGCTCCGGTGGGCCTGATTCCCCTCAGAGCGCAGGAGTGCGCTGAGCACTTCCACCCGGCAGGCGCCAACGCAAGACTCCGTCTCTCCGCAGCAGAACCAACCTGAACCAGCGCATAGAAGATTTTCAGAACCTGCTTCTGCAGCAACACAGAGTGGTGGGAGGCGTCAGGGAGCAGCTGCACAATTTGCTGCTGAATCCTCGGCAGAAATACCTGCATGGCAGCGAGGAGAGGCTCCCTTTCCTCCGCCTTCTTGTATCTGTGAGCGAAGCCAGACGGCAAAGGTCATTTCTCCCTCTTCCCCAGACTAAAAAAAAATTAGCCACACAAAACCCCAAACATGCAAAGCACTACTAACATTTACTTGGATTTTGGATTGCTGGAGTAAAGCTGGAAGGAACTTTGAGAACACATCCTTGCTATAGCGGTGCTACCTACAGTCGTCCTTAAAAAAACCTTGTCTAGTTCCAGGCCAGCTGAGGCTACAAGGAGACCTTGTCTCAAAAAGACAAAAAAAAAAAAAAAAAAAAAAAAAAAAAAAACCCTGGTCTAAGAGTTCAAGGCGGAACAGCAGTCCCAGTGGGTGGGAGGCGCCAGAAGGAGCCTGAGTTCAAGACCAGCTCAAGCTACAAAGCAAGACTTTGTCTCAAAACACCAAGGTCTGGGAATGTGACTCATGCTTGGCTAGAATGCACAGGGCCCTGGGTTTGTCTG